CATTTGTGACAGAAAAATGCATCCATAAAATGCAATGGCGTTTGGGTGTCACCGGTGGCTGTTTGTGGTATAACACCCAAATAAAATCTCTAAGGAACCTCAATTTTTTTATATCAACTTCAAATTTGGAACGCAATTTATTTAGACACAAGGCTTTAATTTTATAGCAATTTTAGCGTAAAACCTGTTCTGAAAAATATTTATTTGATATAAAATAGAAAAAAAGTACAGTGCATTTTCTTTACAGTAAATGTAAACTTCTATAACTTTTTCATATTTTGAAATGATTCCACTTCTGCAATAATCTGCTGATTGTCTTCTTTAAAAAGAGTCCAACCTTAGGTCTGTATTCAACAGCGTTCATGAATTATAACAATTAAGTTTGGATAGTGGCACTTTCACGTCTATGTTCAAAAATGGGGGTTAAAGGGTTAACTATATATTTATATATCTGTAAAAAGTCAGTTCGTGTTTCTGTAGCACTTGATACGATGGGGATTGTTTCAAAGCAGCTTCAGCAGGAATAAACAGCAAAATAACAAAAGTTTAAAATAAAATAATACTATATTTTATTATATGATATTTTAATGTTTTAGATTTTATGAACATTTTATTTTATATTTTCAAATAAAATATTGAGCTTTATGTAAGAAAATGTCTATTCTATTCTTCCTTTAGAATTTAATATTTAATTTTCAAACCACCGGATGCACATTGCACACAGATCCAGAGGATTTCCTTCAATTAAAATGCAGCTTCAGGGATGTCAGGCTGCTGAACACGTTTGTATTCATCTGCTGTGTTTTATATGTTTGTTTGGGAAACAGAATAGTGTCTGAAGGGTGTCGTGTTGGCATTATGAGCTCTTCTGTGAAACCCATTACAGCATTATTATTATTATGAAACCCATTTTATTTTTTACCACAGTTCCATGTTTTTTTTGTTCTTTTATTTGTGTAATTCATTTTCATTCTAAAAAAGGTTAATTCATAAAACTTGGAACATTTTATTGGAATTTTAAACGTATCTTTAATGTAGATAAAACAATGAATTTGCAGGATGTGATCCTTCAACATAGAGCTTCATAAAGAATGAGTATTAGTCAAATTTAAAATAAACATTTGAATGTTAGGAGTGCGTCAGGGAGCGTCATCAGTGGCGCG